TATATATATATATATATATATATATATATATATATATATATATATATATATATACTGTATTTAGTAGTAAATGGACTGATATACTAGCATTCTAATCTATGCTGTTTTTAGTACCCTTATACTTATTTTTACATACTTATACTAGGTTTAAATGTGTGTCTAGTTTGTGTGCTTGTGATTGTTTTGTGTGTGGGCCACAACACCAGCCCCCGCTGCCTGTGGCCCACGAGTATTGTACTTGTTTGCAATTCTAATAAATCAAATCAAATCAAATCAAAATGAAGGCGGTGTGGCCTAAGAAAAAAAGATACTCCACCCACCTTCTCTACGTTACTTGGCGGGACGGTAACGTTGTCAAAGCGATGCCACAGCCGGTAGACGATAGGAACACCGGAGATGAGACAGATGAGGAAGGGGATGAAGTATGTAGACAGGACGCTGTAGATCATGTAGCCTCTCTCGTAGCTCTTGGACGGCCAGACCGGGCGGCAGATGGTCTGCCAGCCGTACGGTTCCCAGTTTAACTCCACCAGGCGGTAGTGCATCAGGTCCGGCAGGGCCATCAGAAACGATACTACAGACATGGCAAATTTATATTATGTTTATAAATATTAATGATATTTTGTGTGTTCCCTAAAACTACGTAATTCAGCCTTTTGTACAATACATTGTATTATTAGGCTGAAATGTTGTTTTTGTTTTATGTCAATTTGCAAATAAACCATTCATATTAAATTGAAACGGACTGGACTATGAATTTGTGCATTCTTGTTATTATTACTATCATTATCTATCATTGTTTTGGGGTAATTTCTTTTTTCTTTAATACCATTGTTATTACCATTATTTATTGTATCTTCATTTTAGTGTTTGTACGTGACGGAATGGACTGGACTATGAATGTGTACATTCTTGTTATTGTTACTATCATTATTTTATATTTATCATTATTCTTGGTTAGTTTCTTTTTTTTAAACATTGTTATTGCCAATATTTATTGTATCTTCATTTTAGTGTTTGTACGTGACGGAATGGACTGGACTATGAATTTGTACATTCTCGTATCATTACTATCATTATTTTAAATTGTTCTTGGGCAATTTCTTTTTTCTCTATTGTCATTGTCATTAGCATTATCTAATGTATCTTGATTTTAGTGTTTGTACGTGACTTTGTGTATTTTATTTATTTGTGTAAAACAGGGCTCCACTAAAAAGTAGTGTTATTTATCCCTGAGTGGAAAACCCTGTATAAACATAACGGAAATTTTTTTTTAAAAACTCGACATTATTTACAGAAATATTAAATTCTTTAAACTGAATGATAACAATATCTAATAAATGGTCAATTTTTCATTCTCTAGCCTTATATTGAATTTTTAATTCAGAATGCAACGGACAGTAATTATAAATTGGTCGTGGTTTTGAGCAGATATGTATTCTGTATCAATTCTGTATCTGTATCGGTATAGCCGGTATAATTGCCCTTCGGCGTAACACACCAGCTTCGCAGCTAGCTATATCACACCGAACGGCTTGTTACACACAATCTTTGCACATTTGATTGCAGGAGTTGTTTAAAGCTTTCTAGTGATGATGCCCCAACTGTGCTTGGTGGCAACGAGTTCCAGTCTACGATAGTTCTGGGGAAATGCGAGTTTTTATTCATTCAACTATGCTACTGGAAATATAGAGAGATAAAGTACATGCATTGCCTTAATAAATGAAAGGCATCAAATGACACGTTTGTACTAATGCCTGCTTACATTACATGGATGTTATATAACAAAGGGAGCAGAAGTAACTACCATTAATATTCGGTCATTCATTTTCCTAATACCTAAATCCTGATGAAACGATTCAGGGATTATTAAATACCCCTTTAACGTGAGACGCTGTTGACCCATCATACTAATAGGGCAGTTCTATCATCAGTAAACCAGTCCTTGCATTTATCTTATCTTGCGAGAGATTTAGGTCAAATGCTCCCTGAAGAAATTTAACGCTTGCTTGGTGTATCGAGCATCGGTGTTGATAGGTGTTGATGGTTAAGTGACCTGTATTTTATTTCACGTTGTAATATAGCGTATATAGGCCCATATAAGAGGTGTAAATCTTCGTTTAACGACATGCCCGTAGCCTGGATTTTGAATGGGGCGGTTCTTCCCACTGCTTGAGGGGACCTTGAGCGCCGAGGCGAGCGTCGAAGGCGCGAGGTTCCTAGGGGGGTCCGGAGGCATGCTCGCCCGGAAAATTTTGAAAAATGAACCTTCTAAAATGGCATTTTGTGCATTTTTGAGAGGATTTCCAAGAAAAAAATCAGAGATAAATTTTTATTCAATGATAAAGGGAGCAGTTTTACTACGATTCCAGTCATTCTTTTCAAGAAAAATCTTGGACCTTTACATAAAAAGTGGACCAAAAAGTGGACCTTTGAGCCTTGTGGGGGGTTCTTCCGAACGGGCATGAACGACTAAAAGCAGCCAATACGTCGTGCAAAGGGCAGGATGTCAGTGTTTCTTGGCGTATTTTAGAGTTTAGCGACCGTATATCTGTATCTGTATCAGTATAGCCGGTATAACCGCCCTTCGGCGTACATGTAACACATCAGCTTCACAGGCTCGCGGCGCGGCGGCAGCTAGCTACATCACACCGACTGACTTGTTACACTCAATCTTTGCACATTTAATTGTAGTAGTTGTTTAAAGGTTTCTAGAGATGATGCCCCAACTGTGCCTAGTGGCAACACACACAGTCTCACAAAGTCGTATGGGCGAAGGTAACAAAATAAGTTGAGTCATCATGTCTCTTGTTTCACTGCAAAATGTCCCCTGTTTTCAATTAGACCTTTGTGATCAATAGTTGTTTATATCGCCTATTTGCTGTCTTAATGTCCCGTAATAAGAATCGAAACCTGTAATCAATCATGTAATAATCATGTTCCTTAAATAATCGATGTCAACGCAAGATTTGTGACCTTATAATGATTATATTCTTAACTATTACTATATAAAAAGCCAAACTAATACTACTTTATGATTTTCGTCAATAATGTTTACGATTTTTGGTTTAAACACTTGTCCCAGAGTAAAACCAAAACTCTAAGTCTATTTTTATTAGGTTTGTTATTGGTTATTCTAATTAACGAGAGGTTGTGAATAATTATCGCAATTAGTAAGATGCATTGATGTCATGAAGAAGAAGACAGACGGTCATCGAAACATCATGCATGTCTGGACTTGTCACGATGTTTCAGTAGGCTTATGATTTTGGCGGCGCCCATAAGAGGAGATCTATATAGGCGACAGAAATATTAGTACAAAGAACTGTTATCACATGAAGCCGCAAAAGTAGGCTCTACGGGGTCACATCACTGTAGGTTAGCGCTGATGAATATTCTGGATGTTAATAGCTATTGATTATGACAGCGACAGCCGGTGTCCTCCTGAGTTCAGGAGATCGACCGGAGGCTACACCTCGATGCTTTTCGGAAGACTGGGACCATGCATATTACCAACGCGGCCCAACACCCTGGTCAACCGTTATGTCAATTACGCCAAAAAAATTGCAGTTACTCAAGCAACTGGATATGATTTTGAAAATTCTTAGCAACTGGATATGTCTTTCCAAAATCTTATCCAGTTGCTCGAGTAACTGCTTTTTGGCGTATCGTATTACCTGGATGTCTAACCTTCATCGACGTGTTATGTCAATTCATCGTGTTCATGTGTAATTTTTGTTTGTTTGACGCTGTTAAAATAAGTTTAAAAACTTGAGTGCAGCGCTAGACGGTCCTTGTTATTTTGTTATAATGTGTTGATAATTGTGTCATATTGGAATGTAGAAAAGGCCAAAAAAAGCCGGAGAGGACTAAGTTCAACTTTTTGACAACCCCAGAACAGACTTTAACCTACCTGAAATAAACTAAATTTCCTATTCCAACATTTATTTCAAGACTTGGCAACAGCACACTAAAGTTTTTTTAGGTTATATTTATGCCGCCACAAACACAGACAACAGACATACTCATTTTTACCTGAATAAAGTGAGGAAAATCGTATAAAATGCCTTTCCCAAGAGCACAAGATCGGTGTCATGGCAGGATTCGAACTCGGAACCTCTTGATTCCGTGCCAAACGCTCTGTCGTTACGCCACACGACCCCACACAATTGTTGTTCAAGCCACAAAATCAGCATCTTTTATTTATTTATTTATTTCATTTTAACACCTGGGTAGCCCAACTCAGCTTTGACAAGTTGATTTTCAGTGGGGCCCAGTTTACAGAAATAATAAAACGTAAGTTAATACTTAAACAGAAGTAACAGAGAATTGTATGTAAAACATAAATAACGCAGGTAACCAAATTATACAAAATAAATACATGAGATTACTTGGAGACAAACAAAACCGTAGAGAACAAATCAAAATCGTTGTCCGTTACTCAAAAGCCATTAATCGGTCAAGGTCGGTTATTCATGTGGTCATATGTAAGACTGTAAAGTATGTTGTTGACTGTAAAACATCGGCTCTCTTGAAAATAAAAAGTAGAAATTTGTGGCTCACCAATCCATATAATAACGCTCCCGGCGACGGCCACGCGTTTCCGACGGAAGATGAGGGAAGCCACCGGGTGAACAATGACACAGTACCGGTCAACACTCACCGCGGCTAGCGTCAGACAGGTAGCCTGCACCGTCACCTGAAGTAATATGTAGAATAATGTTAAGTAAAAAGACACTAGCTTTGTAAATATCGTTATCATAATACAAACAGTTCAAATTCAGAGACTTGGCGTCAAGAAGGTAGCCTGGACCGTCACCTAAAGTAATGTAGAATAATGTTAAGTAATACGACACTAGCTATGTAAATATCTTTATCATAATACAAACAGTCCAACTTCAGAGACTGGCTACCTTTGTCAAGGTTGGAGATATCCGGAACACTCGTAACATTAAAACAAAAACTGAACATCTGGGGTGTAGCGTAACGGATTTGAACCATGAGATCCCGAGTTCGAATCCTGCCATGCCACCGATCTTGTGCCAAGTCACTTTACACAAATTTCCTCACTTCAGGTGAAAATGAGTATGAGCGGATGAATGAATGAATACATGAATGGATGAATGTTGGAATTGTCCGTTCATGCTTTTGTATGCATTGATGGCAACATAAATATAAGTTGAAAAACTTAAGTATGTTGTCACCATGTCTTAAAATAAAATTAATGCTGAAATATCCAGAACCATGTCTATCTAGTCCTATTCTTGTATGGGATAGGGTTAGGATCAGGTACGGTTCAGGATAATCGCCGCATACTTAAAAACAAGCACAATTTGATTTAGGATGCCCGTGCTCTATCCAGAACCACGGTAAAACTAGAGGTCGGAGATCTCATGTCTTCGTCAGAGGTACATCGTTCTAGAGAAATTAACATGCGTATTCTTCACTCTTTTTAATAATCAATTTGGTCTAAAGAACAAAAGAATCTCTGTACTATTTCTATGGTACAGAACACCCTGAAACGGTTTGCCACAGATTATACAGATGCGTCGTCACCCGTGTTAGCCCCCCCCTAACGTTATTTGAGTTTGGACTGTTACTGGAAAAAAAAAACGTTCAAGAAATTCTTACTGTGTTGAAAGTGTCACGACAGCGCCGCAAAATATAATAAGAGAAGATGTTATAAAGGAAAGAATCAGAACAGGGTGACTACTGCTGTTTTGTTAATTTGTCTTTATGACAAATAGAAGACTTGTTTCTTGTGTTCTTTGTGTCCTAACATTTGTACTTCTACAGTTAGTATATTCCAAATCTAGGCATCTCGTTTTTCGGCCATTCGTGTTTTTATTGCGCGCTTGCCTTAAATTTAAGGTAATTAGATTTAAGGTCTCCAGTGGACGTCATCCATAGCAATTACTTGGTGTGGCCGTAGAAAATAATCCTGACATATGTCCAACCTATCCTCCCCCTGCTGAAGTTATAGTACAATCCCTCAATGTAACGTCATTTGATCCCATCCCATTATGGGGTTCCCCGGCGGTAACGGCTATATCCAGCTGTCGGCTGTCTCCAAGCAGATGTAGGTGGGGGATTTCTAAACACAAAAGGTCCTATTACGGGGACATAACGATCTCCACGACTCTCATCTTTGAACTCAATCTTGGAGATCACCACAGTAACATGCCTATCAAATTTCATTAACTTCCATCCACACATACAAAAGTTATCCTGCTCACAAGGAAAATTAACAAAATGCCCCCTGTAGTCACAACGAAACCCCCCACGAAGCTCAGTAACGAACTTAACCTTGATCCCGACAATAGTTAGCACCACACCAAGAATTATAATCAACATTTTACAAATACTTGAGTTATTTTGCTAACAAGCCACAAACACAAAAGGTGCACTAACGTGACGCACGGACCCCCCACGAAGCCGAAACTTGTACTTGAATTTGGCCTCAACAATGGTAATCTGCCTGCCAAAAATCATGGACGTCGAATCATGCCTTTCAGAGTTATATCGCAAAATCCGCAGTTCCCCACACTCCGGCGAGACAATTTCATAGTCCTTCTGACGAAGACAATAACCGTTAGCCGTTAAATAACCGTTCCTGACCATGGTTCTGGATAAAGCACGATTCGAGATAGTCTCTGTGAATACAAGAAGATAGATTTGTTCAAGGCACGGTTCTGGATACGTTTACTATCAAGACCGAGCATGGTTCTGGGTAAAGATCGTTTCTGAAAACAGCATTTCTTCTTCTTCTCTACTGCTTAGCCAGTAATAACAACGGATTACTAGCAGCTGCGCAATTGTTAGTAACTGTGAGTGTAAACAAAGGGAAAGATAAGGGAGGACGTAGACATGTGCAAATCTGGACAAATGCAGTACTAATACGTCTATACTTCGAACTTTTGTTCCCTTTTCGACTTCCAAAAAATTGTCTGCACTTTATTAGCATATCAATCAATAGTTAGTGCTTATAAACCTGCGTTTCTCCTCTGGTCTCTAAGGCCGTGTCTAAACGGAATCACCCAAGGCGGTTTACATGTGGTTTACCCCGAAGCCGGTTTCAAGTGGCTCCATGTGAACGCTCCGAAATCACATTGAAAGCGCCTCGAGCCCAAGCCACTTCTAGAGGTGGTTTCGAATCGGTTTCCCCGCATCGCGATTTGCGTCTTAACGCAATGTGATTTCAATGTGACTTCGCCTGGTCATGGATTACGGGGTGATATTTCTTTATTTATATGCAATACCAACTTTTACGTGGCAGCAACTTAAAGAGCAGTAAGGCCATGTTGATTTGATTATATGGATGACATCCGTGCGCGCATGAATTTTCGGCCGTTTCCAAAAAAAAAAAAGTTTTCAACCATACTGTAAATCATACAAAACAGTTGCAAAATGAACAAATTTATTCTGTAAGTTGCAAAAAAATATTTGAAAACGATACCAATGGCGTAGAATGCCAAAATCAAACAAAAAAGACGAAAATGTAAAGAAATGAAGAGTAGAAGGATACTCTGCGCCCTTTGTTCAACCTTCATGACCACGTAGATTTCATAATGAAAGCAACTTTTTTTTTGGAAAACTTTTTTTTTATTCGCACGCTCGCATCAGTTTGGGGGGTTCCCAGAGGATGTCATCCATATAATCAAATCAACATGGCCTAATGGTCAAATAATGTGTCCGTTCTAGGGCGAGCTTCACCGCCTCTGGCGGGACCACGTCGGCATTCGGCCGAGATACGATGGGAGGGGGGCATCAGCAAGCAGGTCGTTGACCTCTGACATTAACACGCCGCCTTGCGTGTTATCATCAAACAGCAATAAATGTAGCTCAAGCGCATTATGTTCGGACACGGTTTCACAGGTGTGTGTGGCACGTGGACCAGATGTGAGGAATGTGAGTTACCCGAATCGCGGTTTGGGTGATTCCGTATAGACACGGCCATAGTCACTGACGAAAGCTAGTGGATACTACCTGAAACGTCTAACCGTTTCCAAAATCGTATTCAGTTGCTTGAGTAACTGCTTTTTGGCGTAAATGCAGTACTAATAGTATCAAATTTACAGATATCTTACCTGCATCATGTAGTTGACCATTCTGCACATGTGCTCTCCGAACACCCAGGAAGGCATGGCGTACTGGGCAGCGGTGAAGGGGACACAGCACAACAGAAACGCCATGTCTGTCACGGCCAAGTTACACAGATAATAGTTGGTCACGGTCCGCATCTTACGGAAAAACGCCACCACGTATATCACCAGGGAATTGCCAGACATCCCGACAAGAAAAATCACGGCAAAGATGGCCGGTGGAACGTAGTTGTCCCATGATGTTGGTACAGGCAGAGGTGCTGGCGTCTTGCTCACTCCTACAACAACAGCCTCCGGGCAGGAAGAGTTGGCAACCTCCTCCAGCGAGCTGTCACTGCTGCTTACGTTTGCCGTACAATTCAGCATCTTCTGTGTGAAGACAAACTGGTGACTTACTGAGAGAACATGTACCGACGTACTGATCGAACATAGACTCCCTAGCTATCGCAGCTTTACTCCATAAAGTACCCGTAATGAACTGTTAGCTTAATCATTTCTGACGACATGGACAGACCTATTAACCTAGTTCTGTGTCAACAGTCTGATCCATCATATTTAATATCATCTAACGACTGTGCACATCTATATCGTAGCACTAAAACAATGTTTGTCCAAGCATATGATGTAATAATAACTGGCAGAGGCAATCGATGATTGCATTATTGAACCTTTTCATATCTCTCTTACTTACACTTGTTGCAGACAGAAAACCAATCAATGGCCCTGTAGTCACCTGTTATTCCTAATGTATTTCCAATGGCCTGGCTTTTTAGGCCGTGTTTAAGTGAAGTCACCCAAGGCGCTTTACATGTGGTTTACCCCGAAGCCGGTTTCAAGTGGCTTCATCTAAACGCTCCAAATCACATTGAAAGCGCCTCGATCCCAAACCACTTGTAGAGGTGGTTTCGAATCGGTTTTCCCGCATCGCGATTTGCGTCTGAACGCAATGTGATTTCAATGTAACTTCGCCTGGTCATGGATTACGGGGTGATATTTCTTTATTTATACGCAATACTAACTTTACGTGGCAGCAACTTAAAGAGCAGTAATGGTCAAATAATGTGTCCGTTCTAGGGCGAGCTTCACTGCCTCTGGCGGGACCACGTCGGCATTCGGCCGAGATACGCTGGGAGGGGGGCATCAGCAAGCAGGTCGTTGACCTCTAACATTAATAACACGCTACCTTGCGTGTTTTCATCAAACAACAATATATGTAGCTCAAGCGAATTGTGAACGGACACGGTTTCAAAGGATTGTGTGGCACGTGGACCAGATGTGAGGAATGTGAGCTACCCGAATCGCGGTTTGGGTGACTTCACTTAGACACGGCCTAAGATAAACAGGCTACTTTATCTAGTCACGTGTATGTAAAAGCAGGGTGACCTAATTGAAGAGTGGAATATCAGTGAACCAATGATAGAGGGGGATCCATGTGATTTTGTCTGCTTAGTTACTTATTCTCCCTAAACCCCATAAGCCTTTTCGAGAGAATAGGTCAATCCAATTTAGCCCACAACAAGTACATTTTGTGGATGGCATCCTCCTTCAACTAAATATCTAATGCGATGCGACGAAAAAAAATGAGGCGGGCCAAAAAAAAAAAGATTTCTACATTTTCAACTTTTAATTTAAGACCGTAAAAATAGTTAAACAAAAATTGAGGGGACAAAACATGATACTTAACATACTAGTAACCAACAGGTCTTTTATTCCTGTACTCAACCGTATTACCTGTCCTTTTGAATATGTAAACATCAACCAGAACAATTTAATAAAGAGCTTGTCGTGCCATTATACATATACAGTTTAGCAAAATTAGTTAAAAGTGTATGTAAATAATAGTTACTAATATAACTATATGCTGTATTCTATGTAAAAGGACTCCAGGAAAAATAGTGATGTATTATCACTAATGTGAGCTTCCTAAACAAACAAACAAACAAACAAACAAACAAACAAACAAACAAAATACACTACTAGATATTCAATGCGATGGAACACCATAGATTGTCGACACTTACCATCAAAGGCGAGCAATTATGCCTCTAGTCACTGAAAAAACTTTCTTTGAAAAATAGGCAGTTTTGGGCAATGCGAGACAGAACTGATTGGACGTATATAGCATCTAACCCATTTTCGGCTTGTTGACCGCCGTCGGAGGGCAACAATTTTGTTTTTCCAAAATCTGTCAAAAATCAATGCGCGCGCTGATGTAATCCTAGCAAATTACTTGCTGTGGCCTCACACACGAGCCAAGGCGATGATAAAGGTACCCGCGAGTATTGGTAAACTAGGACAAAGTAATAGTCTTGATTGTCTACCAGCTTAGCAAAATAGGGCAAAGTAATGTAATGGCTTGTAGGCATCGGTTGTAGTACAGTAAAGTAGAACAAAGTAATCAGCATGTCATTGTAAGTAACGCAGGCTTCATTTTAGAAATAGGTTATAGATGGGTAAAACGTGACTGTTTGAAAACGGGCACAATAAGTACATTCTAAGGCACTCAACTGTAGAGGAAAATAAACCTTGATAGAATCGTGGTTGTTGTGATTCGCTGAACACCAGCCAACCACAGCCGGCCTACCCGGCCTACTCTTAAAGCGATATTATATAAGATTTTCACTGTTTTAAACATTGTTTTTCACATTTTCTTGCGCTATCAGCCTACCTGGGTTGAAAATGACATTAGGGGAGTAAAAGATCAGCGGCGTTACGCCGTAAAAACGTGTAGAAAAGTTGTCAACTCCTCGGTGCTGGCGCGGATCGCGGCCATGTTGTTTGTTTACATTCTTTCAAGGAGCCTCCTAAAATACAGCGGGCCTGGCGCGACTTATTCTCGCTCTGCACTGAGTCGCCGGAAAAGCGAAATAGCGACACCAATATGTCGAAAGTAATTGAAAATGACAATTTAGACGAGAAAATTTGTAATCATTTATACTTACAGTTTTGGTGCAAAAATCTTACATAATATCGTTTAAACTACACAAGCTACGTCCGACCAGTGTGTGAGTACGCAGTACCAGCGTGGCATCCATGCCTTACACAAGCACAACGTAACCAGCTGGAGAGAATCCAACGCCGTGCCGTCAGAACTATCCTTGGCAAAAACTACACAAACTATGCTGACGCCTGTCTCCTACTTGGCCTCGAGACTTTGGAACGACGGCGAGACCACCTCTGCCTGACTTTTGCCAAAAAACTCTTACAATCTCCTGACTACCGGCATTGGTTCCCTCCCCGCCGTGGGGACATCAGTGGACGTACAACACGGTCCAGTAACCAGATTGACTGTTTTAGAACAAGAAGCGAACGCTTTAGAAACAGCGCACTACCATACATGGTTAAGTTACTGAATAACTCTGAAACGGCAATGTAAGAGTAATCTGTTGCTAATGTTGTACAGCAGCCTCTCACCGAACCTTTTTTTACTGCGTAACGTTTTAAACATGTATATTGATTATCAATCCATTTTCTAAAGCAGAGGAATATTTTACGATTTATAAATTTTAACAATATTTAATAATATGTTATAATGTTTTAACAATAATACCCATATTTTAATGATATTTTGTGACGTCAGATCAATTCAGGCAGCCAGTATGGCTGCCTGCGAGTCTGTTATCAGTGTGGTGGTAATTGAAACTGTGTATGTCTGGAGATTTCAATTTGAAATAAACCATTCTAAACTATGGTTGAGGGAGTTCTGCGGTGAGAAGGTCGCTTTAGAGCAAAAAGAGTATCCCCCCCCCCCCCCAAAAAAAAAGTGAACTGTGCTTTATTCCAAAGCAATAAATTGCACTGTCATCATGGGAACCGATTCTTAAAATTTACTGCTTTCTAACGATGTGCGATTCTTGAAAATTATTTTACTTGCTCCTACATTAAAATATATAATACCTTTCATCAGTGTGTAGCCTTTTGACCTAATTCGCAATTCAAATTTTGCAGTATTACTTGCTCTGTGTCTTTTATGTATAAGGTGTCATCGGTGTTGATATTGGCGCACTTCATGTTCAAATTTCAATTAACATGCTAATGCTAATATCGACAAAGCTGAATCCAAATCAGCTAAATCAGAGATCATCCATGTTCGCGAGGCGTGTGACAAGGGCGTTATAGAGGTCGATGTTGGCAGGGACACAAGCTATATCCCTAAAAGCGAAGTCAAGTTACAGATATTAACTTGAAAGCTCATCTGTGTTGGTAGAAGTCATAATGAAGCAAGTTTAAACTGTAATTTCCAACACAAGAAATTGGACTCACTCAAATTTTCGACTGTACAACTCCAGTCTTTGTCAAGGAATGAGCAATCCACCGCTTCCGTGGTCACCCAGATAACACACGGGATTAAAAAGGCCATCTACATCAGGGCATTACAGCCATCCCTCAACAGAGACGGGGGGCGCCACAGACTTTCTGTAACCTATGATCCACTGATCACGGAGTCACGTGTGTTATCTGCGTGACATTACGGAAGCGGTGGATTGCTCATTCCTTGACAAAGACTGGAGTAGTACTGTCGAAAATTTGGGTGAGTCCAATTTGTTGTGTTGGAAATTACAGTTTAAACTTGCTTCATAAATTACAGATATCTTTAGCAGTCCCTAAATTTCTTCAATTTGTGATGAGACAAAAGTTTGTTTTTTTTTGCTTAGATCGAGAGTTATTCTTTCAAAACACGGGCTACTGACACCAGAAATCGTGCCTGTTGGGACCAAAACCGTGCATGTAAATTAGGCCACACCGACTTAATTTTTTGGATGACATCCGCGCGCGCATTGATTTTCGCCTGTTTTCGAAAAAAATCACGTCCTCCGAGGCTCTAGGCCTCTAGACTAGGACTCTAGTCCATGGTAATTAGTGACAATACGGAGCCGGTTGTAAATCTGGATCGGATGGCGTCCAGGCTACCGAACGACGGCAAGAACTCTTGCAGATTCATAAATTCCGCAAAAAGCCAGCATGTGCCGGCTTGTCGTATACGTCGCTATGTACTGCCGTAAATTCACAATACCAGCTTTGTATATCTGTGGTTTAGTAGTCTTTTTATTTTTGGCCGGAATTTTTTCTATTCGCCCGCGCGCAACTAGTTTGGGGGGGTCTTCAAAGGATGTCATCCAGAACATTAGGTTGGTGTGACCTTACAAGTCAGCAGAAACAATCACAAAGGTTAATTATAATAGGAAATTGGAGCGCTTCCGTTCGCGAGGACTGACAGTTCCTTCTGACAAGGAGGGAAATAAATTTCCGGAAATAGATCCCGAGCATGTGAATCGCGTGTGCTCATGAATATTAATCAGAGCTCGTGTGTACTAATGGATATTAATCAGGGCTCATATGTGTTCATGAATATTCATTAGATCGAGCGAGCAGTACAGTGGCAGAGCACACTATGGGGATTTGTATACTTAAGCACCCCAAGGTGACT